CGAGTCACGAAAACAGGGTGATCAGCTCTCGCTCCCAGCACGGGACTGGTGCATATGCTCAACTCACACGCAAATGTCATGTGCTCTATATAAACCAACAGCAACTCCCCCATATGCCACAAACCTGCCAATCATTGTTCTTAAGGATGATTAATGCCATTGCAGCATTAGTCTTTGCATTGCATTACAATTACTTGATGTTGTGTTGGTTTCTGTTTGTGAATATATGTACATTTGTTGTTGTATATACACTTAACTAGCTTTTAGCATTATAGCTGCCATGTGAAGAGTTGGTAGATTTGTTTTTTTTATCAATAGACGTTGTACATATGTGTAAAATCTGTGCTCCTAAAATAAAATGACTGTACAGTGTTTTGAAAAAAGAAAGCAAAATAGTTGTCCAAAATCCCAAATATGGCTCTGTAAAATCAATGGCAGCTGATATTTAAGCTTCTTTTCTGTGACTTGTAATACACATTTGTTCAATTAAAGGTTTGTTTTATAATCCTGTCTCTGTATTTTTTTTCTACAATTTATTAATGCAATAAAACCATAACAAGTGCACCACTAGATGGCAGAATAAAACAATATCTGCTGCAGTGACATTTTCCTACATTTAATGGCAGCATTGACTGCATTTCTTTCACTGAAATTGTTGCCAATTGCATGCAGATATGTAAATGCACATGTACGCATAATCAACATTTATCAGAAACTGTGATGTAGGAATAAAAACCATTAAGATGTTACAGAACAGTTTAAAAAGGCTTTAAAGCTGAATTTGCCATTAAGACATGACAAATATAGAGAATAATTTATAATCATAACTTATTTACAATAATAAGTATACAGTGCCCTTTTTTCCTTAATAAGGAGACGCTGATATTCCTTTTCAGATATTTTGAATCACCATGTGACTAATACTTGGAAAGTGTTAAGGTTAAAACAAAGACATATACAGATGTACACAGAAGATATGTATGCATATGCAAGTGGTGGACAACATGCAAATTCATAATTCTTCATTTGTTTTGTATTTTGCAGATATACAAAAATTCATTTAGGCTACTGTTGATTTTGTAAACCTTTTCTAAATAATTCTGTGAACATGTAATAAAATTAAGTTACTATGGCTCAGAATACTTATGTCAGACAGCACACTACTAGCCACCTGAGAACACCATTAACAATGCATCCTGTACACCCACTGGGGGAATTCCTAAAAGATGCCCATCCCACAGTGCCAGAACACACTCCTCACAGGGGCGCTGTGAATCACACTAAAGACCTCCAACAGCAGCTTAAACCCTACATGCACAAACACCAACATTCAGCTGCACACTGAGCAAGCCCTTATACACATGCATGTTCAATACACAAGCATCCAGAGGAAGATCTTACTGTTTTCAGTGTTGCTCTTTGATGGCTCAGGAGAGTTAAGTGTGTTAAGGGTGTTTCTCCTAAAATTCCTTAGGAGAAAAGCATTACACAAAAAGCAGGGATGAGCTACTTCAGGTACAGAAAAAAATTATAATAGTTATTCACAGCTGAATTATTATCAGAACTGAGAAGACTCTTAGTCTTGAATGAAAACAACTGAGTTCATATTGAGATTCCAGCCTTTAAGTTAGTTGCAGATAAACGATCATTATTATCTCAGCAAATCTCAGCACAGTGTGTGACTTTATTTACATCTCTACTCAAACTCAAGAGGAGACGTGAGATTACTTGGACAAAAATGTGAAAAGCACAGGACAGGATACCTTGGTCTTTCCCTCTGATCTCACTGTTATTTATGGGATATTAAGACATTAAGTAGCTTGCTTTTCTGATCTTTCTTTCCTGTGGGCACACAGAATGCACAACTATGCATCAATGCCTAATTAAAAGGAAACACAATTGTGTGGAGTAGAATGTGCTAAATATGAGAACTTTGTCATAAGCACCTCAAAAAAAAAAAACAATACACACAAAACACATTACCTGGCATATTAAACAGGATGTGATCAGCTTCTAAGTGGCACATCCGGCCCTTCAGAATAATGAATTTGGCCAGGAAGTAGTGGTATGGCTCCATGGCACTAATACCCTGTAAGGAAACATTACAAGAAAGATTATATAATATCCATAACTCTGACATTACCCCCACTGAGTGTGTTTCTGTTAAAGATGCAACAATTTCAATATGTGAAATCGAAAAATATAATTTGACAAAGTGCGTCAAAATTAAAACTGTTTCACCCATGTGTCCCTCGGTTTCTCTCATTTATCATCTTTCATGGAATCCACTGTAACTGAAAATATATGCATCATTATGCCCCTAGTGTGCATGCATGTAAGCTGTACAAACATTAACATAGTAACATAAACATACACTATATGGACAAAAGCATTGGGACACCTACACATTACACCCACAGGAGCTTTTTTTAATACATCCCATTCTAAATCCATAGATATTACTATTGAGTTGGTCCTCCCTTTGCAGCTATAACAGCTTCAACTCTTCTGGGAAGCTTTCTGCAAGATTTTGGAGTGTCTGTGGGAATTTTTGCCCATTCATCCAGAAGAGCATTTGTGAGGTCAGACGCTGATGTTGGACGAGAGGGCCTGGCTCACAGTCTCCGTTCCAGTTCATCCGAAAGGCGTTCGATGAGGTTGAGGTCAGGGCTCTGTGCAGGCCAGTCAAGTTCTTCCACACCAAACTCACCCAACAATGCCTTTATGGACTTTGCTTTGTGCACTGGGGCAAATGTCTTGGTATGCTGGAGCATTAAGATTTCCCTTCACTGGAACTAAGGGGCCTAGACCAACCCCTGAAAAACAACCCCATAGCATTATCCGTCCTCCACCAAACTTCACAGTTGGAACAATGCAGTCAGGCGGGTATCGTTCTGGCATTCGACAAACCCAGACTTGTCCATCAGACTGACAGATAGAGAGCACTTTGCAACACTGCTCTGTAACTTTACGTGGTCTGCCACTTTGTGGCTGAGTTGCTGTGGTTCCTAAACGCTTCCACTTTCAATAATACCACTCACAGTTGATCGTGGAATTTGCAGGAGGAAAGAAATTTCGCGCACTGACTTGTTGCAGTGGTGGCATCATATTACAGCACCACGCTCGAATTCAGTGAGCTCTTTAGAACAACCCATTTTGTCACAAATGTTTGTAAAGGCAGACTGCATGGCTAGGTGCTTGATTTTATACACCTGTGGCAATGAGACTGAATGAAACACCTAAATTCAATGATTAAGAGGTGTGTCCCAATATTTCGGTCCATATAGTTTATGAACACATGGCTCATATTTGGGCACTCCTTATTTTTGCTGTATTAAAAAATATCGCACTAAGACACCACTGTATCATACTGAATCACACCTAGTGTGTATGTGTGGGTGTACCATACCAGATGGTTCCATGGGCACCCCATACTGTGAAAGTGTTTTCCGTGCACTTGGCCACAGCTCTTTAGAGTATGTCTCCCCCACTTAATTCTTCCTTCTATAAATGTACAAGAAAAGGATGGACAGATAGACGAAGAACACAATGACAAAAGGCATGTGTGAGGCCACCATTGCACATCCCATAGACAGGAACTCTCTACTATGCTTCATGGTCTTGTCATGGTGAGTGCCTTTGGAACACACTTGAGGAAAACTTATAACAGAAAAGGTAACTTTATAAGACAGGAGAGCTATAAGAAACAAACCATATTTGAACAAAACTATTCAAATAATGATAGCTAATATCAAACACTGATTATATGAATGTGTAGGCCGACTGAAAGCATGTAGTTAAGTACTGGTTCATCACTTCACACTCATTAGGTTTTATGGTCAGAAACGTCGACACATCAACATTGTGTGATGTTAAAGTGCTGAAATATAATCGCTTTGACTGTGTCAACAGCGTCGTGACTAAATACAGTAAGGTTTGGAACGTTTCCTGCCTTCAGCATGACGCCTCACTCTTCTCCCTTCAAATGGCTCACCCGGTCCCTACCGACACTACCAGCAGGCGGCGCAGAGTAACATAAACAGGAAGCTCTACACTATCGTGCCTTAAGCGCTGATGGGAAATGTAGTCTTTTGGGGTAAATTAGTTTCGTAATTTCGTATTACAGAGCGTTCTTTGAAGGGGTGTTCTGTTCAATGTGTTCATTTTTTTCTGTTTTTGATGTTATGTAGCTGTGGCTTGAATCCGATTTGATTTTGCAGTGAGCTCACAAAACCAGAAAAGGCTGGCAGTTCTTTTTTTTTCCTTTGTCCCTCATGTTCTCATTTCTTTCTTTCTTTCTTTCTTTCTTTCTTTGTGTTTATATTTATCAGTTATTATTGACTAATATTTAGTCAATTTAGTCAATTTACACAAATGTATCATGTAGTATGTGATTTTTTTTTACCACACTTACATACAGAGCTGGATAGTTAGTCGATCCATTTACTCAGTAACATGTACTCAAGTAATTTATTAATGGATTTGTATTTTCCTGAGTATTTTCAAAGTTAAATTGTAGTCATTAACATTTAATTACTAATTCTTTTTTGTATTCAATTTCATATTGCATTTTTTCTGCATCTGTACTGCTTTATGATTAATTACATTTCTGTTTTTTGAGGTGTCATTCTGGTCAAAAAAGGATCCCAGAAAGAGAAGAACAGAGCCTAACTCCAGTTCCGATGCTGATAGGTGCTGGATGTACTAAGACGTTCCACTGAAGTTCTGTATGTTACTCAGTACTCAGTAGTTTTTGGCCTAGTAGTTTTGCACCCCTGCTCAAGTTTTGAAAGGTACCTTTACTTCTATTTGAGTTATTGTTTTACCAAAATAATAAAAATTTTACTTGAGTGTGGATTTAGCTTGCCACTTCATGCTGCTGGTGTTCTGTAAATGACTTCATTTACACTCACTTCTGTTTTTCTTCTTCAATTGACTGTATGCAAATAGAGTGGAATAAAGTCATCGAGTCTAGCTGAGCTGATAGACAGAGTGGCCTGGATGGTGAACAACACAGACGCAGCATTATGCCAAAGGTTACATACACTTTCACAGACTCAGGAAGACTGTAGTATATTGCCAAGCTGACATAAGGAGACAGAGATTGGAGTCTGGGCACTGAGGGAACTTTACAGGATTAGGTAAGTAAACTAGAGCAATACTGATCAACACCTGATCAAGTGGACGGCTATCCAACTTGGCAAAAATAGGTCATATTTTACTGTCTCTCACACTGGAGCCATGACAGCTTAACCAATACATTTGAATGTATCATTTTAATACATCTTATGTTACTGCTATTTCAGCTTTATTGGCTTGGACTTGTAATGGTGATTTCTTTCTCTATTTATTTACATACAGTGATATGCAAAAATTCCAACATTACATGTTTTGTTAATTTTCTAAGTGAAAGTAAGTTAACACATCCTCTACAGGGAATACATTTACGTATAGCATTTTTTTTGCAACTGTTAGTCTACAATTTTTGCTTTGCTATGTTTAACAAATTGAAAAAAAATAACACAAACTATAAAATGTGTCATAACTTTTGCACAAGCCACATTTGATGTTTTATTGTTTTTACCAGCAAGTTTACTTCAGCAAATAAGCAGTAATTGTACATTAAGATGTGCAGAAGTGTGTCCTCTGTAGAGGATGTTAGAAAATCAACAAAACACTTGACTGGGATGCCAAAACTTTTGCAAACAACTGTACATGTAATCAATATTTAATTTTATTGCACAGATGTAAAGTTTATTCAGATGAATCTAATATGTAGCACTTCTCAGTCACCACCTGTGTGGTGCACCGGTTGCTTCTTCATACTACTGGTCTGTTGTTTTTTTCACGCTAAATTCCTACTTCTGTTTTCTTCTCCAATTCCTATTTTCATTTCTTTTTCACAGACAATCATTTAGTTTTCAAGACAGAGCCACCAACCTCAGTGTGAAACTATGTCTTTTGGCTTACAGTGAGCTTTAGTTTTTGAACCTGCCCACTACTCTCCTTCATCTCCTCTTTCCCCAACGTTTTACCAGTGTTATTTTCCAAAGTCATTTAAAAACTGTCAGTCTTGGTTAAAGCTAAATTCTTAAAAAGAAAAGGGTTCTATATAACACCAAAAGGGGTTCTATATAGAACCGTATATAAACACATTTTCCACCAATCTGAAAAACAATTTCACCATGCGAAGAATCATTTAAGTATGAAATGGTTCTATATAGAACTCATGGTTCTAAACAGAACTATTCCCTTTACTAAAGGACCCTTGAAGAACCATCATTTTTGAGATTGTATGTATATCTTGATTGAGGGTTTATGCTGTCCAATTTTCTGCCTTGGTTTGGAAACCATTTCACATAACATCAAACATTTAACGCTGTCTTAAATAAAGTTTTAAACTAGGGGATCTGCGTTTGTGAGCCTTACTGATGTGTCAGGTGCACTAGATCCTTAGAGGAAAACTACTTATGGATATGACCACGTGTATGAAGCAAGGCGTCTGTCTGTAACAGATATCCAATATCTGTTCTCTCTAATCCTTGACCATTGACAAAGGTGTAAACCTTTAATTAGCTTTGTCAAGAAATTATTTCATTTATTTTGCTGTCTGGTTATATTAACTTTAACAGTCATTACAATACAGTATTGTAAAATACAAATGCAGTATAATTGTGAAGACTGTATCGTAATGGAGTATAATTACATTCTATATACTGTGTACTATATGTAACTAAAGAGTTGTAATTAACTAACAATATTTAACCACATATCTTTCTTTTCATCTTTGTTTGCTTGTCTTTGTTTCTTTCTTTCTTAAGTATGGGATGTGCAAACTCTAGGGGAAAAAATGGTACCCTTGAACAGACACAAAATCACACAGCCCACAAAAACAGATATACCAGAGAGCCAACTCAGCAAGGACCAAATACAAAGGTGATTATATTTATGAGTTTATATCTTTAAATTCACTTCTAATGATTAGATTACAATTTTGAATCACTTTCATGAAGAAATTAAGGTTATTTTGTCATTACAACTCCCTTTGCTATTAGTGGTCTTTGGCATTAAATGACTTGTAGCTACTTCGTAGACTGTTTTTATCCTTAACCCCAGGATTTTTTATGTAGTTATTGATATTAAAAGGCAATCTTACCAGTTTTTCAAAATGTCTGCATAATGAAACAGTCATTCAAAGTGATTTTATGTGAAATGCTCCGTTCTAGAGTAAATAACCGAGTCAGAATTGTTACGACGGTGGTGACAGAAACCAGACATCCAAGGGTTTTAGTGCTACAATGCACAGGAAGTTCTTACAGGAAATAGTTATAGATACATGATGACAATGTTTTATAGTTTTGAGGTAAGATTTTGGTGGCCTCAAAATGTATTTTTAAAATTCATTCATGGTAGACAGGTTGCTGCAGAGCTTTTTTCCAGATTTACCTCTAAGTTTACCACTACTTTAAAATGATCAACATTACATATAGAAAATCAGAATGTGTGTAATATCATGGGTCATTTTAGATAGTGAATAAAATGGCTACAATTGTGTTGTAGACATTGCGACCCTTGGTTTCTATCATCACTACTGTAAAGAAATCCAAGTCAGCAAATCGCTCTATAGCGCACCATTTTACATCAAACCACTCTGGATGACTTTCTCAATTGCACTATGCATAAATTTGGTGTAAAATTGGTGTAATTCCTCTTTAAGACTCATTATTCAAAATTCATAATTCATAATTCAGAGGTTAAAGGGGAATTCCACCAATTTTTCTAAACTTCTGCATGGTTCAGTGGTTGAGATGTAAACAAAGTTATTCAGAGTGGTTTGAGGTGAAATGGTTAATTGTAGAGAAACCTACCAATGCAAAATGTATTTTCAATGGAAGTGATAGGAATCAGCGGTTGCAATGTTTACAACACAAGTATAGCCTTTTATTTACTTTTATTTTATTTATGGTAAAACAATAGTAAATCTGGAAAAATCACTATTTTGTCCTATAATGCATGTATCCCGCCACCATGAATGGCTTTTAAAAGACAATAACCACATCTCAAAAAAAGTTGTAAAACAATGTCTCAGGCAACATATTCTTAGCTATTTCAAGCAGGGGCGTGTCTACGGGTGGGATTTTTTAAGTGTTCATATTTTTTTTTAAAAAAAAGATGCACTGCCTTCCTATTGGCTGTTTTGAAGGTGTGGTTATGCTTAGTGCTGCTCCTTTACATTATCGTGAAACTATGACACTTCTTCACACATGCGGTACATACATGGTTAAGGGAACTGCTGAACCTGCTCTCAGCAACCCAAGTAAAACTGTTTACACTTTTCTCTGGGTTTTTTTTAAGTTATATTAGCAGTTATGTAAAGTTTAACAGTTGAGTTTTCACGTTTTGCAAGCCACGTGTTACCAGCACACTTGGTGGCCACTGGTTTAGTCATTAGCCGGCTAACTAGCCAGCTTAGCATGGATAGGTGGCTCATTCAAAACAGGATGCAGTAATTGTATCCCCCCACCCCACGCCCTCTCAGAATGAAACTATGTTCTTGTTTACATACCCTGTTTAGGAAAAGCCACATTTTTGTTGTTGTTGTTCTGACTCAGAAAGTTGTTCTAGAACAAAACATTTCACATCAGACCTCTCTGAATTACTTATTTACATCTTAATTACTTAATTACAAATTTTTTATTTAAGTAGTCAGAATTTAAGTAGTCATGTGAGTGAGCAACTGAAATGTGGATCCACATGTGGAACATTGCAGTTTAAAGGGTTACAGCCACACCACAAATTCTATGACCCATTAGAACCTGCATTTACAGTGTTTTGTTTAAAACTGATATTCTGTCAGTGATTATAGAATGGCAAGCAAATAGCACAAAAAACCTCCCAGTGAATGTGTCCATTTTACACTACATTAAGTGCACAAAATCAAAATTAAGTGTTTATTTTTATTCCTTTCATTGTTTCATTAATGCTAATTTCAGTTTTTCTAGATTCCAGGTGCTTTTTTTGCTGTTAGTAAAGCTACATCATAACTGTGTTACTTGCAAATACACACACATGAACACACAACTGTTAAATGGAAAGCATTTGTCACTCATCAGTCAAATTGTGTACACATTCAAATAGTTTGACGAAGTTTGATACTCCCATGAGAAGGGTAAACACCCTCAGAATTTGCATGTCAGAGTTTCCACTGTATTTCCACGCTCACTCTGGTGTTTTGTTCTCTAGAATTCCTCTCTACTGCCTGGACAGGATCTGCAGAGTATAGATGGTATGACGCCACATGCAAACATATATTTGTGTTTATATGTAGGGGTTACTGTAGGTTTCTTCTCTTTTTACCTCTTTACTTTTGTTATTTCACAGCCTTGGTCCTGAAATAAATGAAGCTTCAGATTAGTAGTGGGCAGTAGTTTTATTTTTTTGCCATTTTAATTGTGTGTTTTTATGACAAACAGATTAATAAAAAATAGTCCAAAATTACCTAGAAGATACAAAGTTTGGTTATGACAGCACACAAGTATGCACACCTTTTGCTCAGCATGGAAAATATGATCTTTGTGTATCCACAGACGCCAGTGCAAAACAGAAGGTCGTGGTTGCTTTATACGCATATGAAGCTGGAAATAAGACTCACCTGTCTTTCAAAAAAGGAGAGAAACTCCAAGTATTGGAAGAGTGAGTATAACTTATGTTGTGAAATTTTCTCAAGCATACATGTGTGTCAGGAACAAAGGCCACTATACAGCTACATTTTTATTTATCAAGCATAAATGTATCTTTAAAGGTATGACATTATCCTTAAGGCCCAATTATGTAGACTGACTAAGTTTTAGAGGTAAATTTCATTCATGTTCACAGGGGACATTTTGCACTATTTAACAGCCTTTTCATGAATATATTGATGATTTCACATTTTTACTGTAGGTTTTAAATGTGTGTATTGTTTTAATAGTAATTAAATTACTTATATGGGCAATGGAAGGTTTTTTTTTTTTGGCATTACAACTCTTCCTTTGCTTATACTCATTCATAATTCATAGGCTGTTGGGTTTTTGTCCTGAGCTCCTTGAACTCCAGGCTCTTTATTCAGTTACTAATTTCAAAACTTTCAGAGCCCTGCTGATGACATCCTGTTTGAAAAATAATGAGTGGCCATAGTGTATTAATTAAATTAAATGCGAATGAGATCCTAATGCATGGCCACGACTTAGTAAGGCCTGGGAATGAGATCATGCCTCAATAAGCTGTAGTCAAGGCTTAATTATCTTATTCCCATGCCTTACCAAGTCGTGGCCATGCATTAGGATCTCGTCCCCATGCCTTACCAAGTTGTGACCACAACTTAATTATCTCATTTTCATGCCTTACTAGGTTAATACAGTGTGGCCAGGCATTGTTTTTATTTATACGGGATGTCACCAGCAGGGCATTGTCAAAATTAATTAGCTTTAAAATTGGGAAAGGGGCATATTTGTACCTTTTCATAACATTTTAAAATAGAGAAAAAAGCCTGGAGCCTGGAGAAAAAAAGCCTGGAGTCAAGACAAGGCATATGGAAAAATATAATAAATATACACTGTGTGATCAAGGGTATCCAGACACTTCTGAGTGGGGTTTGTAATCCAGAACTAATCATTCATCATTACCTGACCTCACTAATACTCTTGTGACTGGATGCAGTCAAATCCTCACAGCAATGTTCCAACTTTTAGTGTAAAGCCTTCTCAGAAAAGTAGAGGCTGTTACTGAAGCAGCACTCCCTATTAATACCCTTGATTTATGAAAAAACATTGGATGAGCATGTGTCTACAAACTTTTGAACATACAGTGTAACTGCAATCGAATATGGTAACTACCCTTACAAAAGAGTTTCACGTGTGAAAGAACGTGTTCATGTGTGAAAAAATGTGTGATCACATGTGAAAACGTTCACATGTTGAAAAACGTGTGATTACTTGTAAACACATGGTTTTATGAACTCTTCACATTTGAAATCTCTGTGACTTTTCTGTAAGGGTGTGTTCCCTAACTAATGTTACTAAAGACGTACACTTGTAGGTTCCACCTCAGTGACAGTTTAGTACTAATTTAGCACCTTTCTGAGAGAGTGCACACACCAAATGTGGCTGTAATAAACTTTTTTGTCACTATGTGTGTTGTGTGTGTGGCAGCAATGGTGACTGGTGGAGAGCTAAGTCTCTGGCCTCTGGCAAAGAAGGCCTGATACCTTACAATTATGTGGAGGCAGAAGAAAGCATAGAGTCAAATGAGTAAGTGCACTTCAGAACCTGTATGAGCTCATACCATATCCTCAGTAGGGAAACAAAACAATGGAAATACCAGATGAAAGTCATATTTTGTGACTAAAACATACCAAGTATTGCGATTTCACTTATTTAAATTGCCTATCTAAGTAGACTGTAAATTGTAAATGATGTACATTTCTATGATAAACTGAAAGGGATCATTTATTGAAGTCCTTTTAGTTACTGCAAAGTTCAATATTTCATTTTAATGTAGGGTTGCCATTAATTTATCCATGGTTTGCATATTAATTTCTGAAATAAATCAAATAAAAATATATACAGTACTCTGTGAAAATCTTCCACACGTAAACGTATTGCTTAAAATATGTTTTAAACATTAGAGCAAATGCAAATACACATAAATAACTAGAAACAATCTAGATATTGGATGATACTAACAAATAATACTGAGCGTCCACAAGCAGAAGTTTGGATCGCCATTTGGTTATGCAAACACTGAGATATGTAAAATCAAGACTTGCTGTATTGATGCTATTTGTATTTATTCTGAGCAAGTGGCCATTTACTGTGCTTTTTAATACTCATTTTCTCAGGTAACAAAAACCTTTGCACAGTACTGTACAGTACTGTTTATTTGTAATCTACAGTATTGAAGCAACATGCAAAAAAGTATGTAAAATGAAATGACTAGCTAGTCGCCTTGATAACAAGATTGTCTGTACCAGATAAAGCAAAACCTTTTCATGTGTCAAGAGAGACTATAGCAGAAGTGAGCATGAATGTTAAACACATATTATGAAAATCAAGTGAATTTCTTTGTTTTTATTATTGAAAACTTTAACCCACAATGACCCGGCAGTAGATCTGTTCTACTTCAAAAATAATCCAATTCATAGTTGACACAGTTCAAAATGCAAGGTAGACAAAGTAATGGAAACATCTCACTATTAAGAAGTTAACCAGTAAGGAGAACATAAGAAGTTAGACCATCTTTTGCTAGAACAGCTTCAGTCTTTCTTAGAATGCTTTCATACAGTCCTGAACTGAATGAAAGAGGATATTATAACCTTCAAGGAAGAAACCTTTCAGTTCTTTGAGAGATTAAGCAGTTCTCAACTGTCAAATTCTAGCTTTGTGAAGCTCGCAGTGAAGTGTTTGTTGAGATTCAGAGGTTCTGATTCAGTGCTTTGGTTACTTTGAGCAGTTTTGAGCTGCAACCTTTGCTGATGCAGTTTATCCATGTTTTCCCACATGGTTCCCTATGACACATTCATTTTTAACATTTTTATAATTACATATGACACCAATCTATGGGTGGGTGATGTGGCAAAATATTGCAATTCGTCAAGAAATTTTCTCGATACACCCTGTCACAACATTTAAAAAAAAATTGGAACAGATAAAAAATAACCAGTGGTGGTTAAATGCTGGATAGAGTATCAGAGGGAAAAAGAATGAACCTAATCCAACCCTGTAACAAATCTAGTCTGAAATAGCACACTTTCACACTGTGTGATGCGATGTTGTTAGTTGTCTATTGTAGCCAGCTTTTAGAAGACCATCTTAAGAGAAGTACTTCAGTGTTAAAAAAGAACATGTATATATATATATATATATATATATAAGTATATATATAGGATATCGATATCAGCTGATACTCCAAGTTTCAATATCGGATTCTGTGTCGGAGAAAGAAAAATTGGTATTGTGCCATCTCTTTTTCAAACCTCAGTTTAAACACCAACTAACTTCTGATTGTTCTGATTGTTGCTGACCTGTTGCTGTCATTGGAGACCCATGCTGGTACTTGGCATTCAGTCTAGCTGAGTTTGTAATTGCAATTCACTTACAAATGAATCACTTTAATTAGCCATTTACATTTTTAATGTGGTCTTTTTAATTTTCTATATGTCTTACTCTCTATGTGTAATTATTAACTTTCCAGGAAGAACTACTGGAGGTGCTCTTAGAAAACAAAGCAACCCAGATCTTTACTATTATTAACTGTCTCTTAGATGCAGACACATGTGAACTACCACATTTCTGTTTTTTTTTACTTTTGCTTATTTATTAATTTTTTATTTATTTTATTTTACAGTTGGTACTTTAAGAACATCCCCAGAAGAGATGCAGAGAGATACCTGCTGGCTCCTGCTAATAAACCAGGTGCCTTCCTCATCCGAAAGAGTGAGACTACTGAAGGTCTGAAATGCAAGCATACATACGCGCACACACACACACACACACACACACAGACACAGTAAAATCAGGGTAAATCAGTCAAAATAAAAGAACATATTCTCTGAAAACAAGACACACAGAGTCATTAATGCAAAGCACCACAATCTATTTAGTACTAATAGTGCCCCCTTGTGGAGAATCTTCAGCCTGCTTACCATGAGTGAGTGATACTAGTCTCGTTGGGCCAGATGTGATCTCATAAGAATGTTTGGGGACAACCATGGGAAAATTTGGGCTAAAAGTGGGTGGGACTGTAGACTTTTTGGGGTAAGAACAAACTGAGTGTGAAACCAATTCAATGCTTGAACAACAATGATGAACAACAGCCCATCGTTAGGATGAATGTAACATATATCCAATTAAGAATGTACATGTGTGCCACTTCTGCGGAGAACAAATCACATATTTATTAGCATACATTGCTTGAATGCCTGAAATATTGAATAAAACATCTACTAATACTGATGTCTAATTAATAAGATTTATAACTATTCACATTTTATTGTACATATAGTAACAACATATTCATATAACAACTTTTGAATAGTTTTTTAATGTTTCTTTGTGTATTTGTTTGTGTCACTGTGTGTAGGGTGTTACTCCATGTCAGTGCGGGACGTGAGTGCTAACGGTTCAGCTGCGGTAAAACATTATAAGATCCGTCCATTGGATGATGGAGGATTCTACATTTCCCCAAGAGTCACCTTCAAAAAAATGGATGAACTCATCAAGTACTATGAGAGTATGTAAGAATTTCATCAGATCCATGCTGAGTAACTTGCACATTAATATTACTGTATTTGCGCATTTGAACCAGTATGAAGAAATACTTCTATTTACCTGAACTGATTTTCCTGATATAATTGTTTAAAAATCAGGTGACATGCAGTTAACATGTAGAAATACTGAAAGGCCAAGATGTCTGTATGTTTTGAAGTTCCAACCAGGACGTTCTTTTGGGTAAAAATTAGTGTCAACCTACACAAAATGCAGCACTAAATCAAATCCTGTGTAAATAATTCATATGAACACCAGACACCTGAACTTAGAATGTGTTAAACTTTGTGTCATACATTTTTCTGTGCATTTAAAAATAAGCAGGTAAGTGGTCTTAATGAATCTTTGACTCATAATTGAGCCAGCTGAGCTTAGATATGTGTGTGGATGTGTGTGTCTAGTTAGGATTAAAAGTTGTTGATTGTTGGACTAAACTTGATTTCTTTCTTGGCCTTTCATGTGGATCTTTTTTCAGAACAAGCTGACGGATTATGTCGGCGATTAGGCAAACCGTGTGTGAAGCCAAAAGCAGAAATTCAGTGGGATGAAGATGCATGGGAGGTTTCAAAAGAAAATATTCGGATGGTCAAGAGACTTGGAGCTGGTCAGTTTGGAGAGGTCTGGTTGGGTAAGTGTGTATAAGTGTGTATTTTGTATGCAAAGATTTGCACGCCCCTGGTCAAATATCATGTTTTCTTGATTTGCTAATACCACTGTTTTTAGAAGAAAACCTCATATCTCCAAACTTTACAGGAGAAGGAAAAAACGTACTTTACATTTAATGTAAGTCAATGGAACCAGACTTTTTCCAAGTAATTCTGGGTCATTTCTTTTGGTCCATTCATCATGAAATTTACAAATCATGTAAAGGGCAAGAGGCCTTTTCAAATTATGTCAAAAACTGAAGAACGACAAAAAATGGACGTAGGAGGTTTACATACTAAAGCTTAACTACAGGGACTTCAGTGCAAATTGGCTGAGCTTTTCTTAGGATATAGAAGTGTGTAATGAACCTTAGGGCCCCCTGCCGTGTAAGGTGTTAACAAAACATGGGATTTTACCAGCGGTGTTCAAACGTTTGCGTGCAACTGTAGATTTTCATGTTTATGATTCGACACAATTTCCTGTTTGCTCTCTCTCTCTCTCTCTCTCTCTCTCTTTCTCTCTCTCTCTCTCTCTTTTCTTTCTCACTTTTATTGCGCTTGCATTTTGTTATCCTTTCTAGGAATGTAAATGTCGTCAGTTTCGGTAACAGCACTTGTAGTTTTATTTTCCACTTCCCAGTTATTTGTGTTCATTTGGTTATGAAAGAGCGATTTGGATAAGCTGTTCATATCACCCGCTCTCGCTCTGTCTCTGTTCAGCCATTTATAACAACACCACCAAGGTGGCAGTGAAGACTCTGAAGCCTGGCACTATGTCAGTGGAGGCATTTCTGCAGGAGGCTAACCTGATGAAAACTCTTCGGCATGACCGCCTGGTCCGCCTCTTCGCCGTAGTCACCAAAACAACGCCCATCTACATCATCACAGAGTTCATGGCTAATGGTAAACACACTTATACTCAGGCATACACACCGTCACTTGCAAAAGCTTGAGCACCCCTGGTCAAATGACATGTTTTAATGATTTTCTAAGTGTAAATAAGTAACACATCCAAACAAATAAGTAACTCAGAAAATCACAAAACATAATTTGACTGGGGTGTCCAAACTTTTGCATAGGACTGTATACACCACCATTCAAAAGCCTGGAATAAATATTATCAATAGAATAAAACCAATTTGATTAAAGATAAATGTGTAAAATGTTTCTAATACACTAATCCCACACAACTTGACAGTTTTCAAATAATAAGTATGGCGCTAGGAAGCCATAAATACAAAATAAGACATTTTTAAAGTGCTCAGAATGATGAACGGCGCCATAGATCATTCCAGAATGAAAGCTGGGGAGCATTAAGAATTAAGTACTAATAAAATGAATATCCATAATTCAGCTTATTTCAAAGGTATTGGGTCAAATCTCGAAGCAGATAACTTGACAAAACAATTACCTAAATAGATAGTTACAGTTTATTATTATAATTTAATACCTTGTTGTTGTCAAATTACTTTAAACATTGGTTTCTAGTTTCAAATGTTTAAATTTACAAATTGTCTTTGTGTGTACATTAACAAGTTTTGGTATGATTAATGATTCTATACTTCTGAATGGCAGGGCAGTATAATTTACACAATTCAAGTCCACAGGTTCCCTCAGGTCATTTCCTCCTGCATATCTTTTACATATGTGTCTGGCTTGTAGGTAGCTTGCTGGATTTTCTGAAGAGTCCACCAGGCAGAAAAATACAGCTGCCTAAACTGATCGACTTTGGCGCTCAGGTACGCATTCACCCACATGCACACAAAGGCCCACGACTAAATTGGGTTTTATTAGGTTAAATGGCAAAAACTACATTGTGCTTTTAACAGATGTGTGATATTTATATGAACATTTCTCAGAACTACAGAAATACTAAAAGAGAACTGAGACTCCTGTGAAGCATGGTGTTTGTGGTGAGGAAAAAGAGAAAAGAAGAACATTGTTCAGCATCAGTAGGAGTGAGACGTAATGGAAGCCTGTTTGTGTCTGTGTGTTAGATTGCAGAGGGCATGGCCTACATCGAGAAGATGAGCTACATTCACAGAGACTTACGAACTGCTAACATTCTAGTCAGCGAGAGCCTGCTGTGTAAGATCGCTGACTTCGGCCTGGCGAGAGTCATTGAAGAAAATGAATACTCAGCCAGTGAAGGTGCGGCCATACACTACCATTGTCACATGTGTACCATTACACATGGTCTCATAATATGGACTATACCATATTGTGGATACTGTGATAAGCACAAAAATGAATCCTCAGACAAATTAAACATGAACATCAACTTCAACAACTACTAAAAACTCCCTGAGAAGTAAACACATAGTTTATATATGTGAAAAACTGTAATAATAATAATAATAATAATAATAATAATAATAAAAATATCATTAATAGATAAATTATATTGTATTATATTATACTATATTATGCCATTTTTGGCATGCCATCATATCTTTATTGTCTATATAGTGGAACATATTATTATTATTATTATTATTGGCATCATACTGTTATTACCTGGAAAATGGTGTAAATATAAGTTCAATAAACAGTGCACTACACACATCAGTACAATGACAATCAGTATTAAAAATACAAATTCACTACATTTGAAAAACTACAAAACAAATCAGTACTTTATTAGTGTGACATGAACCCACTGCATGCTTTTGTTTTCTCTCTTTAGGTGCTAAATTCCCCATTAAGTGGACGGCACCAGAGGCTATAAATTACGGTTCTTTCACTATAAAATCGGATATGTGGTCTTTTGGCATCCTGCTCTACGAGATCATCACTTATGGGAGAATACCCTACACAGGTCAGTCAGGCGTTAAAGAGCTTCCTTTCCCTCCGGCAACAGGTTTAACAGCTTTTTTTTTTTTTTACACAACGGCTATTCTGTTTAACAGACAGGTCATATAGGGTAATATTTCCACAGTGTGTACTTTTAAGGATGGTCATCCATCAGTGATATCAGTTACATTTGGATTTGAATCTACTGTGGAGTGTCAACTCCAGTGATATGACATGTGAATACTGAGTGGTGTTTGCTGCTCCCTAGTGGCCAAATTAAGAAATATGAATCATTGATAGAGACTCTATTTCTAAACACATTCAAAGACAACCATGTTTCGTTTCTATGAGACAGTATTAGTTAACAAACATTCTGGAAAAGTTGCTCTGAAAGTGTAGCTGTCAAAGTTACCAGCTACTCTCATCTAGAACAATACATTATGTTGATTTCCCAAGTAAAAATAAGTTAACACAAAAACCTTACCTTACAATTACTGTTTATTTTAACAAATTAGAGGGAAAAAAAACTAAATAAATAGAAATTGTGCCCTTAAATTCTCAGAAAATGCTATATGTTAGTTTGTTCCCTGTAGAGGATGTGTTTATATATTTTACTTACATATTTTACAACAAAATATATACTGTACATACACATAGTATTTACAACCTCAACTTAAGGAATACATTAATTTAGATCACGGAAATGTTCACTGTCATTCAAGAACACCTTTGTAAACCCTTAGTGTGGATTAAATCCTCTGTAAATTCTGTAAATTTCATAGCTCCACCTAATGTGTGTGATTTGTATTGGTCTGTTATTGCTGCTGTAACTTAGCAATTTCCCCCCCAGGTTAAATATAGTTCCTATATGTTCTTAAAGTTGCCCTAAGCTATCATAGGAGGAACATAGATAAAGTTTTAAGTAGTAAAGCCCATGACATCTAAACTACCTCATAAGTCATACTGATAATGAACATCACCCAGATTAAAGTTATTTTACATTTGTCATATTGAAGTCAAATTCAAAGATATATCTATTTCTAAACAGAAGAAACATATTATGTAGCAATTATTAATAAATTACAAATTCAGTTATGCATTTTTATCATCTTAAAGAGTTACTGCCATATCTACATTTCTGCAGGTTTGAGCAATGCTGAAGTGATGGCGAGAGTGCAGCGAGGATATCGGATGCAGCGGCCTGAAAACTGCCCCAACAAGCTGTATGACATCATGGCTTCATGTTGGAAAGCCAAGCCTGAGGAGCGGCCCACCTTCGACTACATGCAGAGCGTCCTGGAGGATTACTTTACTGCCACTGAGGACCAGTATCAGCAACAGCCATGAGACAAAGTGACAAAGGACCAGAACACACTGACAGTGGACGGAGCCTCAGACTGACCTTTTTGCAAACAAGCCTGTTTGGCAGCTTCTTTCAATGCCTGACATTATGAAAATGCTCACAGACACAAATTTCCTGGCAGCTCAATCCATAGTAGAACAGTTGTTTAAGTCATCCCTGCAATCTGGATTAGGATGGGTCTCTGAGAAATTCAGCTCACTTAAGCATCTGGAAAAAAGGACTTGAAAGTAGGTTTCGGCCCTACTGCGCTATGGTATTGTGCTGACCTTTTTAGAGGTGAAGCTCCTCGTGGGGGCTTGTAACTCACCCACAAGAAGGAGCTATTTTGGTGGTTCGCAAGAGTGGTGCTTTGTGAAGGGATACCGTGGCCAAGTTTTTCTCCTATCAAGACACCAAATTCACCCAAAAAATCTCCTCCAAAAGAAACTCGGACTGAACAGAGAAATGAATGGGAGACCAAGAATGTTCCAAACAAATGACAATTCATGACAACATTTTGCTGTCTGCCTCAATAACCTGCTGAAGCAGCCTCACACCAAGCAAATATTAGTATGTGCTTCCCAGGAAGTCCATTTTTTTTCAATTCACACAGAAGTAAACAGGCTGGCCTTCTGTAGCAACTGATCTTGGCTATTGGTAATGTCTTGTTTCTCCATTTCTCCTCTGGCACAAGTTTCATTTCACAGCCTTAATGTCACTTCAGAGGTCCCTGGCACCAACCTCCCAAGGACAGAGTGGTTAATAATACATACAGGTCTGGCCAGCATTCACAAGTGGTGCAAGTAGCGCAAGCCCACTTTGTATTTGCTCAATAAAATAAGTGTATTTTTCAAAATTTGTGTTTTTTTAAAATATTAAATTATTTTAATTGAACAAATAGCTAGCACCATGATAACTTTTAATCAAAAGGGTATAATTCACAGAGCATAATTTTTAGTTAAGTAACTCAAACCCAAAGCATAGGATTAACCAATATAAGTGACCCTCAGCTCTTTTCCTATTGAACAGGCTTGACTTTGGGCTTAAAGTTATTAAAGTTATCAGAACTTCAAGCACACTGAACTGCATGTTTCCTCACAAAGACAATTAGCCTTAATTAACCATTTAGTGCAGTTTGCTTTTTTTTTTATTAAATATCATCCACCCCATTTACTCATGCAAGCAAATTTAACCAAGGACAGCAGTTCGGTAGTGGTAAAATTTTATTAAATAAATAAAAAAAAGACAGACATTACATAAAAACTTGCTTAGACCCCTGCTTAGTCATACATGCAGCACATTTTGACCAGTCAGTTGGGTTTTTTCCTCAGAGAAGTTGTAGTCCGGACAGACTTTCGGATTGTGCGGCACAGGTTTCCAGAAGATGGAGTCGACATTGATTCCTTGATGTTGACCAGCAGTCCCCGCTTCGGACGAGGCTGTCCTGCAGAGTCAGTGGTCAGTTTCGCCAGGTCCTCCTTCAGAGCATGCGCTTCTGCCTCTTTATCAGTGAGCTCACGCTGCAAACGCTCAGCATCTCGCTCCTGTTAGCAATAAACAAACCGTGTGAACACGTGATAGTAAGCAAGTAAGCATGCGAACGTGTTCACGTACCTGATTGTTCAGCCTGTTCTGCAGATTTTGGACCTCGGTTAGTTTCTCCATGTAGCTTTCTCCAGCTTCCTGCAGAGTCTCATTCAAGTCACGGATCCGCTTCTCAAGAGATACAATCAACTAGACAAAGGATATGCACTCATTTGAACATGACCATGCACGGCCAGCTTATTTATAAGGCATTCCACTTTTGTTCGAACATGAAGGTAACAATACATGAACACAATTTACATTCACTATTTAAATATGACCACGTAAAGGATTGTCTATTCCTGTAGGGTTTGGATAAAGTGTTCTTTTAAATGGTACAACTTGATATTAGCTTAAGTAAACACTTCAGTTATGTCATACGTGTGCAACCTATTTACCCTGCTAAAGGAGGAGGAAAACATAAGCCTCATGATGAACAGGAATTTGGACCCTTTCTTACAGCAAGAGAACGGAGTCCCTTGGCCAAGAGAAAAGTAATTGTACTCACAGGATAAACAGGTTTCTGTAAGAGTTTCACTCTCATTGTGGTACATAACCTAAAGTATAACTGTTACTTTAAAACAAGTAACAAATAAGGCTACTGAAAGGCTATGTTAAAACCATCTTTTGATTGTTTGCAATACAACATGAACATATGGTGTAGAAGTAAGGTGATCAAGTCAAAACCCACTCTTTCAATAAGCAGTTTGTATCAATAACATTTACTGTAACTTTTTATTCATTACCTCTTGTTTTTCAGCACACAACTGTTCCACAGCACATTTCTCCTTGTAGAGATGTTTGAACCGCTCAGTATCTAAAAACAGGCAGATAAAGTAGGCAAATAAGCATCTGAAATGGGTAAAAGAAAAAGCTACACATATAAACAACCAACCTGTCTCCTCAGTGGTGGGCTGAATTGGGTCAGTCTGTGTTGAGCTGTCCTGCTGAACAGACGAAGCAGCAGCAGGTTCAGAACCATTCAGCTTCCATTCCAATTCATTCACACGCCTCTCAAGCTCCTGATTGGACAATAAACAAATCAGCAAACAGGGCAGCAAAATATTTGTTATTGCAATATCGGCGTATCCAATATTTTGTACAAAAGGGAAAATAACTAACAGCGGCTTTGGTCAAACTTGAGACCTGATTTGAGTGTCAGCTTGATCTGTTTTAAAGAATGGAGAGCGTTGCAATTGCAGTGACTCAAAACCCATACTTTAGTACAACTAAAACAGCTTCTCCATTGCAGTTTCCCCTTTATCTTTGTATTTGGTAGAATACCCAATGATTTGTTATGCTTGATGTTATTTGACCACACACCTTGGCCCGGTCTTGCTCTGCTGTGTATTCCTCTATAGTGACGTAGTCGTCTTCCAGCCGCTCCAGAGCACACTGGTAGGCATGCTCCTTCAGCGCTTCTTTATACATCTCAAACGTGCTGTCCATCTTCTCCTCATAACTCTCCTTCAAATCAGCCATCTGACGACTAAGATACAGGCAATAGCTTACCCACTAACAGACGTTCCTCATGAGATAGAACCAAACAAGCTCAATAAAAACAACCATTACACCAGGTTTTAAAACTCTGCTGAGTGCTGAAAACATCCATCAATAATAAGAGTCACAGAGTACTAAAGCCCATTTACCACTAAACAATTTAGCTATTAGGCACAAATCTGAAGGACCAATTACATTTAACACAAAAATGATAGGCACATTGTGGAATATTTTCATTACAAAGAAAGCATAATTGGTCCTGTTTAATTAGATTTAGTGCAGTACAGTATGTGAAGACACTGAATTCTGAGTTTTTTTTTTGTTTTTTTTGTTCTTTTTTTAAATACAAGTGTGGTACTGTTGGTTCTCATCACTTCCAAAATATCAAACCTCAGAAAAATGAAACATTTATATAGCACATCGTGAGAGTTTCAAGGCATCCTTTCTTTGCTGAAGCCCCACATCACCCACGCCTAGTGTACACCCTTTATCATAATGACATTAGACCTTTGTTGCAGCTTTTCAATCAACAAATGGTCATACCTATGACACTCTTCAATCTCCATGATTTCCTGCTGCATGGCATCACCCATCTCCTTGCGTATCTGAATCTCCTGCAGCAGATTTTTCTTGCGCTCTGCAAATAGCTTTGCCCGCAGACTTTCCACCAAATTCAGCAGATCCTACACAAAGACAATTATTTGCCATATTAAACCATTATTTTCTGTGTGATTTTTGCTGTCTACATTTTTAAAGAGAGATAAAAGAAATTAAAGTAACCTGGTTAATGTACAAATAAGCTCACTGAACTTCTAATGAACAGAAAAATAATTCATTTTACTTTTACTCAAGTTGTACGAAGTATTACAGTGTACACTGGGTAGTCTCACCATGAGCACTTCTCTTGAAATTCTAGCATATATTGTTGCAATTCCATTATATTTTCCATTCAGTCTAATTTAGGTAGACTATGTTAGAGTAAAAACACCTCCTGGGGTAGTATGGACATGTCAGCCTCTTCATCACCGTCCAACAGCTCGTCCTCCGATATGAAATCATCCACTGCTTGGCTGTCAATCTCCCGGTTGCTTAACAAAGGTTTACCATCCCGACCAATCAGACGTGGCGCCAGAGACTCAAGAGAGCGGGATGGGATCACCTGAAGCACCTAATAAACAAAACTCTGCTATAAACCAGCAATTTACCCACAAAACCCAGCAGCCTTCAGCAAACGATCAGTGAACTTAAACATGTAAACAGGCTTAAAATCAAAGCTAAATAAACCATGTATGCCACTTTTCTACAGTTCCAGTAAATTCTTTAGTCATATGGAGTGGTTTACCAAGTCAGAAGCATTTACAGTGGTAGTGACAGAAACCAAACCTCCAAAGCGTTTAATGCCTCTAAAAGCTACCTCACAGACAGCCGCTCCATGAAAGGGATACAAATTGTTTTATTTTAGCTTTGAGATGGCGGAAAGGTGAATGCCGGGCATTGTACGTAATAATAGTACCCACAGAAAAAGATTCACCAACATATTAGTGTTAGCAACATTACATATAAAAACCTCAGATGTTGCATGTAGGTCTACTAATCATTTTAGATAGCAAATAAAATGGTCATTTGTTTTGTGTTGTAAACATGATCCCTGGTTCCCATTACCACCACTGTAAAGAAATCCAAGTTGGTAGTTTTTCTACAATGCACCACATTCACATCAGACCACTCTGAATGATTGTTTACATCTGAAATATGCAGCAATCTTGACAAATCAGAGCAATTTCCCCTTAACATGGTCTAACCTTTACAGCCTGTTGACCATCACCACAGACATTGTTTCAGACAATTGCCCAGCATTATCTAACGTTAATCTGTGGGTTCTCCAGACTCTACATTATACTGCTCAAAAGAAACTCACTCCAACTCCTTAAACTACCTGTTGAGCGGAATTGGGTGAGTGCAAGAAGGAAAACACCAAAACACACTGGACAGGAAAACTGCAGGACCAGGGTCGAGAAACAGATTTACACCATTTATGCCACCAGCCACTGTTGTACCTCTTTAGCCACTGCGGAGAACTTCATGACATGAAGCGTCTCATCATAAGTGGATGCACACTGATTGATGTTCACAATCATGGAGGCTCTACCACGGCCACAAAAAACGCCCTGGAAGAGGCGGGTCAGCTTGCTCTCACGAAAGGGGACGTAACTGCTCTTCACCCTAGAAAACAATTCAGAGACATTTTACCTAAAATAATCTAAACAACAACACATACAGGACTATGAAAAGGTCTGAGAAAATCATATTTCAAACTTTATCTGGGAAGCAAGTGTTACACCCTTTTTTTCTTTTTGGACAACAACCATGTGATTGTGTCAGCATATCAGATCATCCATTCCCAATCTTACGTTAGCCCAGTATTTGTAGTTACCATCCAGTACTAGCTTCACCTATTTAAAAAAATAATAATAATAAAAAAAAACAAAAAAAAAAAAAAACAAACACGAACCTAAAAATCAAGTATGCCAGCAGAGGAAATGTGTATGTCTACCCTGTGATGGACTGGCTTTTTGATCCAAATACTAAAGAAATTACAGTTTTGGCACATGAACATAAAGTTACAGCAATATAGCAATGTGATATTTTTCAACATTGACACATGGGGGGGGGGGGATTACTTGGGCTGGTAACTACACCTTCATATTCCCTATGTTCTGTCTTAAGC